TCCTCCCACAGACCAAAAACATGCATGTTAGGCTGATTGGTAACTCTGAATTGTCCCTAGGTGTGAGTGAGAGAGTGAATGGTTGTTTGTCTCGTTTGTCTCTATGTGGCCCTGTGATGGACTTGCGACCCATCCAGGGTGTACCCCGCCCCTCGCACAGTGATTGCTGGACATGGGCACCAGCGACCCCCGTGACCCAAAATGGAATAAACGGGTAAAGATAATGGATGGATGGGAATCGTGTTTTAATTCTTTCAAAGTGCAGAAATGACTGTAATGTACTCAGCTCACAAATATCAGTGTTACTTGTTTCTTTGCACATATTTTATTTTAGTTGTTGAGGAATCAGCATGAATGTCTGACAATTTTAAAATGCGCTCTAATGTGTCTCCAAGGATAAACTGAAGTGAAAAGTATGATCTTTTTATAACACATCTCATTGGAACATCCTGTACTGAATGTATGCAGCTTGAAGCAAATCCTGCATTTATGCTGTGAAATGCATTTACAGAAACATTGTGTATTTTTATTGCCAAAAGAGTTATTTAAAGCACTTTCCAATAAAATAAGACTTTAAACTGAGCTTTAAGATTTATTTATTTATTTATTTATTTATTTATTATTATCAGTCAATTGTCAGGAAGTAATATTTTCAGCTAGCACAATGTGCTACAAATAAATTCTTCACAAGTATAAGTACACAATATCTACTCAAACTAAGAAATGCAAATAATTTAACTGCAGCAAAATTGTAAAAAAAAATCTAATCAAAATGTTTGAGATCTTTTACAAATACAAACCATAAAGAAATAGTGAGGTAGTTCACTTCTCACACAAAGAATAACTCTCACACATTGCTGAATATGAATGAGTGAGGGGTTGGACACTCACGTTAATAAAAGGCTGATTGTGGACAGTGGCCTGAGTAGGCTGAGACATGGTTGGAATTGTGCTCCCATCTCAATGCTGCGATTAAGACACTCAATACTTGCATAGCTGTGCTGCTCTAACATCATTCTCAAAGGCTAATTCTCTGTGGCGGTCTACAGGAGACGGCTGACCTGAAGCAAGAACCTGAATCTGTGCTTGAACCGAAGACTGAAGAGAAACCTGAGTCCAGTCCGGAGAAGGAGGGTGATCCTGAAACAGAGAACGGAAACACTCAGCCTGTCCAAGTAGAAGAGAGTAACCCAGAAGAGAATCCAGTTATGAACTTCTTCAAAACATTTGTAAGTAAAGCCATTTGACAACATCAGAGTGTGGTTTCAACACTGCTTATGTTTCTGCTTTTCTTCAGACATAAAGTACCTAGAAACAAATCTTTGTTTAAAAAAATCAGTGGCATATCATGGGAAAACAACTTTAGAGGAAACAGCTGTTCAAACTCAGAAAGTAAAAGATAAAAACGTGTCTTCAGATAATCATGTCTTAATAAAGCTGAGATGTTTGGAAATGATGCAGATAAATTAGCTATAATGCACAAGAAACAGCAATGAGCAGTTTTCAAACTGATAAAGTAAAAATGTATTGTTTCTATGTGAATAATTTTCCTCTTTAAATAGATCTCCATCACAAAATATGCCACGATGACAGCGCCTGATGGAAAACCTACGACAAGCAGCCATTGTATTTCCTCTTTATCAAGCTGCCTTTGGGATTCCTGCCGTTTTAACGAGTTACATTGCCCAGCTCCATGCTAATCAAGGTCTTGAACATGTGGGGATGTGGTGGCCTATTGTTTGTCCCATAGCCTGAGCTCACAAGGAAGGTCTGTGAGATTGGAAGTTAAGATTTGTGCAGATAGTGCGAGGGCAGGCCTACGCCATCTCCAAAGCACAATGGCTGTCACAATGACAGTGCATGTACTGTATGTGCTCCGTCAGGGGCCTCAGTGTCCACTCAGATTGCTTACAACACAAAGACGCAAATCTGAATTCATAAAGGGCCTCTGTTTTATTGAAATAATATTTGTTGCTGTTCCTGCTAAATCAGACCTTATCCTGTAACTGTGACATGTTTTCACAGCACAATATAGGCAAACTGAATAAATAACCTCATGATGCTCACACGTCTAACACTTCACAGTTTGAATATGTGTTTTTGTTCTGTTTTGACCATTTTGCCTGCTGTGTCACAGGTAACAACTACTAAAACAACCAAAAAGGAAACAGCTGCTCCTGATGCCACAAAAGATCAGGTAAACAGATGGCCAGAGTTCATTTATAAGGATAAAGATAAGGATAAGGTGTCTTTATTGTCATTTTCATCAATGATAGTACATGTGGTGGAATGAAACTGTGTACTCAGAGTCCCAGTTACATCCATCAAAAGTATGAATTGTAAAAGTAAAATGGTAATAATATCTCAAATATGAACTAAGAAATATGCTAAACTAAGAATACACTAAGCACTAGTAGTACAAAAACAATATGCTGAACAACAACAGAACGAACATAAGTCTGTGTGAGCAGATGAGTATGAATGAACACAACAGCATGAAATAAATCAGCAGCATGAGATCAGCAGCATGGATAATCAACAGCACATATCAACAATTAAGTGGCATTACAGTGATTTTTTCAGTGATTCATTCATTCAACCTTTATGAGTCTAATAGCTGATCATTGGTCTATTTTGTTTTCACTCTGTTTCTTAGCACACTTTTTAATTTTATTATCAAAGATTTTATTACTGATTGAAATAAATATGTAAAAGATTAATTAGAAAACACAAGATGCTACTAGTTTGGGGAACTGCTGCTGCAAATAAAGATTGTATTAATTTCAGAGCTTCCTGTGATTTTAATCGCATTTCTGTCTTGAAAACGAACATGTAAGTTTTACTTGTTGGTGAGGATATGTACACATGCTGATTTTTGTTTGCATTGGACTAACTGTTCATCTCTAACTGCTTCCTCCTTTTTGTTGCAAAATAGTCCACGAAGGAGACCCAGCCTGCAGCAACCACTACTGTGAGCAAAATGTTCTGCTTTGGTTACCTGTTTTCATGGTGCTAATTAATACTAAAATCACTTTTTATTTGATAAATGTGGAAATGTATCTAAAGGCTATCAGCTAAAGGTATCTCATCAGGCCGTGACTGCTGGAGACTAGAGGTGACAATTCAAAATTGTGAGAAAATTCATAATTTTTCAGTGGCAGACTCGTGAATTTTTGAGTATTTGCAACCAGTGAGCCGTGCAGCTGCATTTCACTGCTAGTTTTTGAAAAACACTGCTTATTCTTGTTCGCATGGCTTACAAAAGCGTATTTTCAGTTGTGTACTGTTATGTTGCACACGTCCACATCACACCTACCTCAGCTTGTTTTGTACCCATATTAGCAGCCACCCCTGTATTTATGACTTAATCTATTGGAGTCCTCTTTTCAAATGAAAGCATGCAGATTTGGAACAATTTTTCAAAGCTTATATTTATCGTTTTAAGATTTTTTTAGACCTGGATATTGTTTTGTCAGAGGAGAGCTCCTGTGCTTGTGTTAAAATAAACTTTAAAGCTCTTATTAAGGTTGGAGATGTGCAATGTGAGATGCGACATTCACATATGAGCCACAACGTTTGAAAGATTAATTATATGAACAATGGGAACCAAACTTCACACAACAGAGTACTGTTCCTTTTTATATTTATTTCCTCCTCGGGATTTTCTCGTATTTTCCATTTGCAGATACAGACATATGCTCCTCCTTTGCTTTTCCACTAAGATGAAGAAGAACAGGCAAAGGGGAGGAGAACAGCAGTTGTTGTATATGCACTCAAAAGAGGAGGGTTGCACACGTGACAAGCCACGTGGTACAACCCCTATGTTGTATGTCACTACACGTGGTCATAGTAGTGACATATGCAGTGACCTCACTGACTGTTCACAGTTAAATAGCTCTTTGAAATAAACAGATCCACAAGATCCGGCTGACTTTAAAGAGCTATCATCTCTAACGTCACCTACAAAACTGAGACTATGCTCGAAATGCTCGCAACACCTTAGTGGCTATTTTGAGAAAAACTGATGTACAATTATTTTGAGCATGTTCAAAATTTAAGAAACAAGACTTACAGCATTTGCCACCCAAGTGAGGAAATTGAGAAGCTGACCAACAGTGCAAGACCTTCTGAAGGCTTCCACACAAATGCTGTCCTCCAACTAGTCCCAGCTCAGATCTGAAAACAAACACAAAAAAACTCCACTTGCTGTAAATGATACTTTTTTCCAACTTTTTTATTTTATATTTTTTTAACTCAGTATTATAACACCCTTTATCTGTTTGCAAAGGTTGCACAAATATCTGAACCCCCTGCAGCACCAAAAGGAATGCCTGCCCCACCGCCACCTCCTCCAGAGCCACCAAAACTGGAATCCAAAGGAGAATCAACAATCAAACTGGCAAAACCAGTGACTAAAGAAGAACCAAAAGCTGCAGCAAAAGATCCTGAGGCCTCAAAAGGAAAATCAGCTAAAGCGACTCTGAACAAGTTCTTCCGTCCAAAGGTAATGAAAATTAAAAATTGTCTACATTTTCATGGCATAGTTACAGATAGACATTAACAGCCTGTTCCATGATGTACTGGATTATTCCAAAAAGTGAAACATTATGTATACTATGTGAATCTGAGTATCTGCTAGGGGTCGAGAGAACCAGAGGCAAAAGTGCTTCTTCACGTGGACTCAGTGCCAAGCCTGCAGCAGTGGTACAGAAGATTATTATACTCAAACTGATCACGACTGGTCACTAACTCAACAAAAGCTGATTTGTCTTGAGGCGGCAGAAACATTCAAATTGCTGCCTCCCAACTGAAGCTGTGGTTTTGTAAAACAGTGTATTTCCTATTTGAGGGAAAACATTTTAAGAGGTCTAAAATATGATATTTATATACTGTAATAGTATATTCCACATCCAGCCTGCTCTTTGTTTAGCACACTCTGATAAAAATAAATGAAAAGAGAAATAAAAATTCTAACGCCAACAAGACTATGGTGCCATTCATAATGGCGTAGTGTTTTATAAATATGCAAGTTTTCTTTTTATAGTTTCAGCTGGGTGACTGTCCACAAGGAAACAGCACCTTAAGAGCTCCTGAACAGTATTGCATTTTGTGTACAACCAAAAACAATATTTAGAAATGATGTCAAAGATCTACTTCCTGTCTGATCTACAGCCCACATAACAGACGCAACAACAGTATCAGTGACAGATTATATGCTTGTGTTTGTGTTGAAGATGCCAATTTTCTCAACTATAACAAAACCTTAATAGACTGTAGAATATCAAGTGATAGACATGGCTGATGAACAACTTTCTCTTAAACTTTTATTCCCTGACAAGTTGGCAGACTTTTGCTTCAGCTATAATAACAAAACTATAAAAATACTGCAGGCTGTTAAGTTTTTATATATTTTAAAATGAATGTAACAAGACATCGCCATGTTGTGTATGCTGCAATGCATTCTGGGTAAATGACAGACAGATTGCTTTGGTGTGACACCCCATCCAGTTTAAACATTTATTATGGACAATGTTTCCTGTTCAATCCTTTTAATTTGAACCGGAGTGCGTCGACAGAGAGCAGAATGCAGAAATGACTCCGCCTGCAACTGAAAATGAGGAAGACTGTTGAAGAAGAGAAGAGCGTTGGACAGAGATGTTGGTGCTTGTGCGGCTTATCAGAGAGTGGGTGCTGCACTGAGCTCTGCTTTAAATTGCAGGCTAAACCCAAGGCCAAAACATATTTTCATAAATATTATCATTTATAAATTAGTATTACAAATTATATAATAATAAAGATACAAATATTTTTGTCACGTTACACAACCATTCATCTATCTTTTAGCTGCAACTTATCCTAATTTATGTCACGGGGGTGTGACCCAAATTAGTAAAGTGTATTTTGAAGAAAAACTTAACTCCATCCGGGCCACAGAGCAACACACAGTGCTGAGCACACAACTACACGTTAATCAATGGGTGTGCAAGTCCAGTGCTGCACTGCGTTTCAAGGGTGGAAGAGCTGGTTTGTGACAATTGTGTTTGATCGTTTCGACCCATATATTGTGTGTAAAGGCATAAGGACTAATGCATTATAATTTTATTGTCATACATTTTAACTTTTTAGTCAACTTTTTGTGTTGTAGTTTCCCCTGCAACCTGTGTACACCATTGTCCCAGAATGCATGGCACCGGTAAAATAAAAGCAACATCCTTATTGAAAAATGTAAAAAACATTACATTGACTAGGCGTTTTCACATGTCACAAAAATACATTTTAGTAGAATTGAGAACTAACAACACATGAGACATTAAGGTCAGCATGTGCATGTAAATCACTTTAAAAAGAGCAGAACAAAAACCATGCATTATTACACCAACTAATCTAAAGCAATAAATGATTTTATCACTTCAATAAACTATCAACAAAACTAAATAAAATGTTGGAGAAAAAAAACTACAATGTATACAAATATATACATCAAGTATATATTTGAAAATAGGGAAATTGACTCTTTAAATTACCAACACTTTTGTTTAAAGAGTTTAGACTGATAAGTTTTAAACATTGTGAGGAAATATTTTTCCTCCAGGCATCCCTTACTGGTTTTGGTCCTAAAACGTGTTTATTTTGTCCACCTGGACTGATCCGGCTCCCAGTTGGTACCATCCAATATTTTAGTGGTCTTGTCATTTAATGACACAAAGTAGAAGTTCCTCTTCATCATCACTTCTCAAAAAGATGTTCACGTTTCACTTTTGCATCCTCCTCTTTTCCTTCTGCTTGTGTTTTTGGTGCATACCCAGTGTGTACGCTTTAGACCCACACCCCACAACTTCACAGGCCTGGCATACAAACTGCAGCATTCTGGGTCATTTTCTTCATTTTCGATTGGATTAAAAAAAAACATTTATAGGAAGAATGTCAAGTTTACAAGAATATGTTTATAGTCAATAAATAAACATTTTGAAAAAGCAGAATTTCCATGTACACAGGTTGAAAACATCTACAGCATATTACGAGCACTTTTACACTACAAGCCACATTGACACACACACTCCAACTAACAGATTGGTGGTAAAAATGTTTTGCCCAAGGGCGTGTGGATAAATGGGAAACTGGAACAAACGGCCAGCCTTCCAGTTGGCAGATGACCACTGTCGCCCCTGAGCCACAGTCAGCTGTAGTTCACCGATCAGTGTACATCAGACCTTCTTACTCTAAACTGGAGCATTGGCCGAGGGTCCTCTTGATGTAAAAGGACCCAGTAAATCAAATAAACAATAAATAGGCATTTCAGTTTTTCATTGGGATTAGTAAACAAATTGCTTTTATTTACTACACATACAAAGGTTTATATATGTGAATGTAGCTGCTTAATATAAACTTCAGGCTTTGGAACATTCTGTTTTTTATTATTTGAGACTCTGTCAGCCTCGTTTAAGCAAGCAGACCATTTTTATTTGGTTTTCAGCTACATTTAAAACAGTCAGATTAACCAGTTTAACAGTATGTATTTAAAGTTCAGCAGCTTTACTTTAAGACGGGAGTTTGCAGTGTTTTTTTCTGTCAGTGATGCAAAGACTACACAACTAATCTTCTGTTGGGTTTTCATTTTTTTCTTTGGTGAAAAACAACACAGTCCCATGCATTGTAACTGGGACTGTGGTTATTTATAGGCTCAGTTTAGTTTTAGCTTTTGGAAAATTATGCCAAATGGACACAGTGAGGGTGTCTATAAAAATTCAATTCAATTCAATTCAAATTCAATTCAATTCAATTCAAAAATACTTTATTAATCCCAGAGGGAAATTATTTGTTGTTGTAACTGGTTATCCTCATTTCATTAAGAGATGTTATAGATGCTGATGGCTATAGACAGGAAGGATCTCTTGTAAAGGTCCATCCCACAGTGGATCCTAAGAAACTGGCTGCAGATGCCGTCCGATCCGTCCACCCAGACTCGGCTGGCCTCTCGGTTCCCCCAGGCTGTAGGACCGCCCGAATGCCGGGCAGAACTCCTCCCAGAGCAATGACCACTCCTCCCAGCAGTCTGTCGAGCTCCTCGTCACTGCGGACAGCCAACTGTAGGTGCTGAGGGATGATCCTGTCCTTCCGCTTTCATTAGCCATTTTTCCTGGTAGTTCCAGGATCTCAGTGGTCAGGCACTCGAGCACAGCTGGCAGGTAGATGAGAATGCATCCACAGAACATCCTTTCAACTCATTTGAGATTTGGGGCTGTAGTTGAGATATTATTTGAGCTTTTGAGATGTTAATCAGCTGCTGGTTGTAGAAAACTGTCTTGTTGCCATGGTTACGCATCATAACAAATGTCCAAAACCCAAAAAGTTTCAGTAAAAATCCTTCCTGCTGCACAGCATCTGATACCAGAGGAAACAATCATCCAAAAAATGTGTTTTACATCCAGAAAAAGAGGATTTAAAGTTTCCTAAACCAAAATCTCAGACTAAAGTAACAGAGCTGCTCCAACATGCAGCCACCTTGAGCGGTGCAATTCTAGAACAAATGCATTCATTAACAAAATAAAAGTTAGAGATCGTCTGATTTAGGCCTTGCTTTACAACGCTTTCTAAAACAATCTTCTTAATAGTCCATCCATCCTTTATCTTTACCCGTTTTTTGCCTTTTTGGGTCACGGGGGTCACTGGCGCCCATGTTCAGCCATCACTGAGCAGGGGGTGGGGGGGTGGGGGGATACGACACCCTGGACAGGTCTCCAGTCCATCACAGGGACACGGAGACAAACAGCCATTCACTCTCTCATTCACACCTATAGACAAGAGTTACCAGTCAGTCTAACATGCATGTTTTTGGTCTGTGGGAGGAAACTGAGTACCCGAAGAAAACCCACGCATGCACGGAGAGAACATGCAAACTCCGCGCAGAAAGGCCCCCGGCCAGGATTTGAACCGGGGCGACCTGTTTGCTGAGAGACAGCAGCTCTACCAACTGCGCCACCTTTTTAGCACCCTAGTCCTTTCTAAAAATATACTTATAAATATGGCCCTATTTGTAAAAATGTTTTCATCCTGTCAGGAATGGGTTTTCGGATTCATAATAAGCCAGACACAGGAGTGCTAAAACAAGAACATTTTTTATTTATTATGCTGCTGGTTGCTGGAGTCAGGGTCCAAGGCAGGAGTCCAATCTTAAAAGACAGAGAGGTTAGTGACTTTGGTGAGGACAAGGGGATACTGGGATTATAGTTAAAGTTACTAACATCCTGATACATGCTCAATAATCCAGGTAGAAAAATCCAAAAAAGTTCAATCTGGTCCTCTGGACATTCAAAAAACAAGAAAACAAAAAAAAACAAAAAAACAAAACAAAGCAAAAAAAATGTAGAAACGTTTCGTCTCTCATCCGAGAGACTTCCTCAGTCTGAGGTGCTGTATTAAGCTCAGTCTCTTAAATAGCACCTTCTCAGAGTGGATCAACCAGTTTGCTGCTGACAATCAATCAATCAATCAATCAATCACCTT